GCTTTCCTGTTCCTCAGATGCTGCCTGGGCTACTGTGTTCCTCCAGCTCCACACTGTGTTATCCCTACTTTTATATTCTATTCCTTGAGCCAAATTCAAATGCTAAATTCACTTTGCATTCCTTATTACCTGAGATACCTGTATACTAAATTTCTATGTTTCATGCACAAGGACACTCAGATCCCTCTGCATCCAAGCACTCTGAAGCTCAACAATACCTGCTCCAGGGTAATTCGGGATAAGCAATAAATTCTGGCTTAGACAGTGAAACCCACATCCCTTGAATGAATTGAAAACAAATTAAAATAAGCACTGAGCACCATTGATGTCTCAATCATGTTAATTTCTCTACACTTTACAAGAATATTTGAATTGGTTCTCGAAAATCTAATTCAAATAATAACAAACCAGAGCCATGGCTTATGTCATAAGGCTTTTCTCACCATCAAAAATTGTGGACACAATTCCTGATTACAATTAGCACGAAGGAAGTGGGATAAAATTTGTGAACCAAAGTCCTATGGTGCATGATAACCAGGCAATCCGCTGAGGAATTAGAGATGAGGAAATCAAAGTTCATCTCCTCTGTGGAGTATAATTTCCTGGCTGCAAGCACAGACTGACAACTTCAGGTCATCGACCAATGTCACCGTTGATCTGACTGTCAGGAAATAGAAGAAGCTGAGCTTATGGTCTTTCTTTCTTGGAAAGAACTGAAGACAGGAACACAACAATTACAAGATACTGTGCACCCACTCAGCTTCTAGTTCATCATGTGTCCACCCATTCTGCTTTAATAGCATAGCATCAAAGGCTAAGATCTGTATTCCAGCAAGATATTTTATTTTTATTAATGTGGCTAACAATGTGACCATGAACAGATAGTCTGTTTTTGATTTGTGTGATCTTGATTGAGAGATAAATATTAGCTGGGACAGCAAGGGTAATTCCACTGTTCTTAAAGTTTTTCAGGCTATGAGATCTTTTACCCGAACGGATTAGGATTAGGGTTAAGGTTGGGGTAAGAGTAGATGGGGACTTGGTTTAATATCTTATCTGAAAGATACCTCCAGCAAAGCAGTCATCCCTCACTTATGCACTGGAGTGTCAGTTTGCTCTTCAAAAATGCACTCAGAAATTAGAATAGGCTTGAACCCAGGTTGCTGTAGTATAGAACAAGGGTATTACTGATGAAGACACAAGCTGCTATTGGGCTATGAAAACTGTCCTTGTTCATGGTTGTGCAATAGGTGACATTGGGAGTGGTCATACAAGCAGAGAGCTTCAGGCTTTCTTTTTTCCCTGGTTCTCCTTGATTCTTTGAAGTGCTTCCTCGGTCTTCCTCTCATTTGACCTTTTACTGACCATTTGGTGCACAATTGAATAAAGAATTGATGTTAACGTTTTCCAGAACGGTCATGATCAAAGTCAATATCAAGGGCAACTCGTGTCTGGAAGAGACAACAACAGCTACTCTAGAGACATGGTTTAATGAAAAAGTAGATAAGCCTATGAAATTTTCTGGGATCAAACAGTGCCCTGGAGCTGGAATGCTCTGGAGCTCTCTGCTTTTTCCAGTATTCAGGGACCAGGACTGCAGTTTTGGTAGAAGCGGAGTAGTTTTCTCAATGAGCTCTTTTGAGTTTTGCTGTTTCTGTTGTTGCTGTCTTACTTTTTTCTTCTTCTTGCGCATCTGAAGAAGATTAACTGTTTTAGTATGCGTTCTTCTGTTCTTTATACATGCTCAGACTGTCTCCAATATCATCCGTTTGAAACAACAATAAAAAGATGGACCAGGATGGTTTTCGCTGCCTGGTAACAGTAAAGGTTGTGTCAGTTGTGGTTTCGACGGTAGCACTCTTGCCTCTGAATTCCTGGGTTCAAATCCCAAATCAACAATTGGGTACGCTTTTCTAAAAAAAATACAGAACTAATAATTCAACTGAGAAGTGAGGTAACAGAGCTGGAGATGCTTTTTTTCAGATGTGATGTTAAACTGGTTCCCTTCTGACTGTTCAGATAGCTGTCGAACACTTATTAAACAATCTGTGTATGATGATAAGGCTGCAGGGCAGAATTCCCCGAGTTGTACAAGTCCAAACCTTCTAAAAAAGATCCTATGATTTAACAACTGAGGTCACTGTTACATCACAAAAAATTTCATAGGCTCATCTACTTTTTCAAACTGTGTCTCTAGAGTAGTTGTTGTTGTCTCTTCCAGACATGAGTTGCCTTTGCTATTGACTTCAATCATGACCATTCCAGAAAATTTCAACATCAATTCTTCATTCAATTGTGCTCCAAATGGTCAGTAAATTGTCAAATGAGAGGAAGACTGTGGAAGCACTTCAAAGACTCCCTGAAGTCTTATCTGAAGAAACACAACATTGATGGCAACACCTGGAAGACCCTTGCTCAGAAAAAAAACAACTTAGAAGAACCTCTGTACGAGAGGGCACAATTCTTCAAGAACACCCAATCGGCAAGACAAGGTATGGAAAAGGATCTGGAGAAAGGAATGCCATTGATCTCAAAGCCAAGGACCACTTCCACTTCCCAGAAACACCTGGCAAATGTGCGGTTGGAGATGTGGCTCTAAAAATGAGCTCATCAGCCACACAAGGACCCAGAGAACCCATGACCAGTGACATGGAATGTCCAAGGGGGACAATCAAATTATTAGTAAGTGTATGCCGTGACGATGATGAAATGCTCAGTGCTTCATTTGACATCAAACAATGTTGGCAGAAGAATAAAGGATCGCATGGCACCACTTAAAGGGTATTGGCAAAAGAAGCAATGGTGACATGTGTAACCCCATCTCTATGCGGTGAATGGTTGAGATCTGGAATGCACTGCCTGAAAGTGTGTTGGAGATGGTTCCAATTGTGGCTGTCAAAAGTAAATTGAGCAAGAATCTCGAGAGAAAAGATTCGGAGGGTGATGGGGAAAATGTGGGACAGGGAATGAAGTGAACAGAGAACTGCCACAGATGTGATGGGTGAATGGACTTCTTAATTTTATTTATACTATAAGCATCCAATGATTCTTCATAAACTGACCTTTTTGTACAAATGGTCCAGTTACCTTGACAACATATCGTAGCATCGGAAAGTTATGCGAATGATCTAAATTGGGTTTCTTCATACGGCATGTTGACAAACATTGGGATTCAAATATAAAAGTTATTTCTTTCTGTCATTCTCTCTCCGAAGTCAAGATCAAGGCCAAAGTCTCACTGTTTGGAAATCACAAGATTGATACACAGATTGTGCTGTCAATGTTTCTCATAGTGGGTTAATGGACCAATTTACTTTCTTTTTGTTGTTGTGTGAAATCTTAGAGACTTTAAACTGCCCTGCACTGTAGCAACTAAATAGCTAAAGGAAGCAATAAAATCAATTTGAGTCTGAATGGACCATATTTATGTTTTCTGGCTCTGATTAGAGCTAATAAAGTTTTACTTTACTAAAAACAAACTGGAAGCATTCTACATTCTAGCTGAAATAAACTGAACAATTTTAAAACCAAGTTTGACATTGTAGTGGGATGATAGTCTATATAGCGTGCCAAGCTCTAACTTTTGCCAAAGTAGAGATGGTAAGACATTTATTTTGCAACATTCTAAAAAGTTTTGATAGACTGAATAGAAAATAACCAATTTCCATTGGTTGTGCATCAGTAGTTACAAGGCATAAATTCCCAATCATTACTGAAAAAGGAGTGTTTTTTTTTAAGTGCAGAATGTCCTACCAGAATAGTAATGGATTAAAAACTACAATATAACTAATTGGAGAAGTAGCTATAGGGAGTGAAAAAACCAAATAGGCTGAAAGCAAAGCGCCAGTGAATAGATGTAAATGGGTAGCATTTTTTGAGAACCAGTATGGTTGCGATGAACTAAGTGGCTTCCTGTACTGTGGAGTTTTGTGGCCTCCTTGAGAAGGAGTCAAATAATTCTTTCCAGTGCTTGACTCCAGAGTAAGGCCACTTCAACATTGCTGAGAAATGGAAAGTTGCTTAAACATAAATACATGTAGATGTCACTTTAATGCCCCACCCTGTTCCCTGACAAACATCTCTGTCTCTGGCTTGCTGCAGTGTTCTAGCGAAGCCCAACGCAAGCTGGAGGAACAACACCTCATTTTCTGCTTGGGGACCCTGCAGCTCTCCGGACTCAATATCGAGTTCAATAATTTTAGGGTCTAAACTCTCCCATGTCCCAGCCCCCTAACCCACACACCAGGCCTTATTACCACATAGCCTGCCATTACACACTACCTGTTATTATTCACTAACAGTCCCCATTAACAACTATTCACCCTCCCAGCTCATCGTTATCAACTTTTTGTCTGTCCAACTGCTCTTTTCTCTCTCTTTAGGCTCTATCCTATCGTTTACTCCCTACCCCATCCACCTCCCTATTTTCTGCATATAAACTGACATTTTTCCAGCCACTATCAGTTCTGAGGAAGGGTCACCAGACCCAAAACGTTAACTCTTTTTTTCCTTCACAGATGCTGCCAGACCTGCTGAGCTTTTACAGCAACTTTATTTTTGTTCCTGATTTACAACATCCGCAGTTCTTTCAGTTTTTGTTGTAGATTAGATGCTGATCAGCTGAGTTGATACAGGAATGAAGGAGAAATCTTAAGGAAGTTTCAAAAAATAGAAAGAATGCACAATAACAAGTCATACAAGTGCAGATTGCATTAAAAAGTCTGATCTGTCAACAGCAGGGGAAAAAAAGCTGGCATTTAAATGGTTAAAAAGAACAAACTAGAAGCTTAACATAAAACAGCACAGAAATGTCAGCAGTCAAATTTTCACCTGAAATATTATTTCTTAATCATAAAGTTCAGGAATAGATGCTTTCATTATTATATTAATCTCTAAATCTGCCATATCATCTTCTGCAGAAGGGTTCCACATGTGCAATGGCATCTTTACACTGCGCTTTCAAAGCATGAACTGATAGCTAATCAAATATGACTACTGACCCATGTAATCAGCCACATTCGCAGATGTCAAAAAGCAGCCTCACTTCATGAAATCATGTAGACAGCATGTCGCTGATCAAATGTTGTTCAGGGAAGCCTTTGCACTTTCCGACCTTGATTGAAACATAATAAACTTTCCGCACACTCTCTGCTGCTGCTGACTGCTTAAGCCATCAAAAGGCTTTGGATACTGGGACAATAGGAGCTTCCAATACTGACATTGTTAGATTGTTATTAGATACGAGTATCAAGGAAGAGGAAGCTAAGAATGTTAGGTGAAGTTGCGGTAGAAGTTAGACCTGATCTAAATGAATGGCAAAGCAGACTTTGTGGTATGAATGACCCACTTCTGCTTTATGTATTCTATAGTGTCACTGCTGATTTCCTGCAACTTTCTCAATTTGAAGGCCCTATTCAATCAGCAATGCTACATTTTAATTATTTGCCTTGTAGTACTTTACTCAAGTACCATTCTGTAAGTTAACGCTGTGAGTGTTGTTAAGGGATTTTATGATGGTGGCTTATACATTCAAATTTGATCCTGCTGCAACCCAATGTCCAGACGTGGAACATTTCAGTCTGGATGGCAATCAGAAGCAGGACCTCAGGCTAGCTGTTCTTGTTTCCCTTTTTCATCTATAGCCCGGAAATGTGGATGCCAGTTGTAAATGTATCTGCAATGGTTAGCTAACTTAACAAGAAGGCCAGAAGCAGATATGGGAATTGAACAAAGGTCAAGCAGCTGTGAAGAAAATGAAAGGTATAGGAAGGATCTTGGAGTTTGCATGCCTTAGTCCCTCAGAACAAGGATAACACTTGCTTGTGGCAACGTGCCGTATGTTGTGTCTTTTAAATATGGGAACTCTGTTGTGCTATGGCTATCGCTTGTTTCCTGGCTGACCAAGGAACTCTCTTGCTTGTTGTGAGCATATCAGAAAATTTGAAGACTAATAATCAACCTGCTTGATTGCATTATGATACCCCTGCTCCATTGTAATTAAATTCTGAGAGGAGAATTGTACCCACAGCTTCTGGCTCCTCAAGTTGGTCTCTACCAGAAGACATCCTTAAATACCTTGGAGGATTAGAGTTGCCACATTGGTTACAAGAGGGAAATTACACCAAAACTACTTTCAAAATTCCACTGGCTAGGCTAACACCCAAGTTCTGATAAACAACATTGTATTATAACAAATCATAGGCAAGGTTAAATGACAGATGTCACAGAGGGGTTGCCATTGAGTGAGGGCTGCACAAGAAAGGTGAGCTTGGCATACCATGATTAAAGATCTCCTGCTGCAGTAACTATAAGCAACAATTTCTTTTAATTCCAGATGCTCTACTATTACCTCAATTATATCTGCTTTGTGAGTCTCTGCTTTTAACTTTAACTTCAACGTTTCTGTTCATATAGCCTTGGTTCATTTTTTTTACAAATCACTTAGTGATAGGCCTTCCTTCTCCTGAAAAGTCTTAACAACTGACAAATCTATTTTGGTTTTCAACCACATCCCATGAATGAATAAAACACAATATGGAAAGTAAAACTCATGGTGAACATCTTATCAGGCTTAACCTCAGTAATTTGTAACACATATATTTGTTTGTGGATTTCAAATCCCACAGTAACGTCCAAATTATATCGCAATCTATGATGAGAACACCAAATATGTTACATTCTGGCCAGTGGCCAATAATTTCTTTTGTTTAGTGCAGACAAACTTTGAGATCCTATGTTCTTGTTAACAGAATAAAGCCAAAATAAATAAATAAACATCCACTGTACAGGGTTAGTAAAATGAATCAATTTATTTTATATATTTATACAACTTATGCTCTAACATCCAGTATTAGCATGAGGTAAGTGAGGGCAACAGAGAAACTGTAGTCTAAGCACCAATAGAGTACATTAAATGGCTGGTGTGGTTAAGAAAAATCCCATGGATTTCTCAGCAACCCATCCTGATAAAACATGACACGGTGAATGACCAAATCGCTTTAAAACTTTATCGTCCTTACAATGGAGTCTAACTCATCACGTCACGATCTGACTTTGAAACTTCCTCATAAGTCATTCCAGTACAGACAACCTTAATGACTGCTCATGTCCTGGTAGTTCGTTTTCTTCCCCTGAGACTGTACCTCACTGGGATTCCTGAGACTACAGTCCAGCACTTACTCACAGACACAATTCCAGCTTTTCCGTAGACAGCTAGCTTCACTAAGATGATGTTAGCCATTACGTATTTCCAATCTCCATTATTTCTTGGCTGTGATTCTTTCAATCCTGCAGTACCTTAGATGATTCCCAGACCTCTCCTGACCCCTAGCCTCAATGTTTGGAAGCCATACAGCCTCCCAAGATCTCTAAAAGCCATAACTGCCTGGAGCTTATAATAGCAGCACCTATTTGCCATGGGGGCTGTTTTCTTGCTCCTCTTTACCTGACTGAGTGCTGTGGTCATGCATTTCATTGTTTTCCTGGCTCAATAGTCTCCTTCTCATGCCATTGCCGTCCCAGAGGTAGACATCTATCTGTAGCTGCCTAAGAACTAAAGCAGAATCCTGAGTCAAGTATGCACAACTTGGTTCTCTTCATTCATGTGGCAGAGCTGCCAGGGCATATTAGAAATTGGAGTCCTTGGACTCTACATATAAAAAAAATCTAAGTCAGCTTTTCTCCCAACATCTTATCACCATTCTAAAGTTCTTGGGGAAGAATGATTTTTAAGTTTAGCTAGAGATATTCAGAATTAGATCTCGTAAACAAGAAATCTTTATTATCTTTTCCTAGCAGACTCCCTCTGCTGGTACATGTGTTTATGGTGACCTGAATTGGACAAAATACTGAATATAATTTTGAATACACTCTGGACTCAAGAACAATGTTAGAAGCCCCATTGGTTCTTTTTGGAGGAAAAGGCATCTCTGTCCCTATTTCCATGCCTCCAAACATGCAAACAGTAGGAGGACAGTTCCCACCCCAGCTGGAGGCATGAATGAAAAATTGGTTTCTGCTCTTCAGTGATCTTCTGTCTACTTTACGTGTACCATTCCTCTTTGGATGCTACAAGGGTCTGTCCCAACAGATAATCACCAGTATTTCAATCTCCTGCAGGAGCAGGCTCACTCCTAAGGATAGATAACTAGCCTTATATTTCTATTGACCTCAGACTGAGAAAGTTAAGTCATGTGGTTTGACTCTTCTGAGATGGATTGAAGAAAATTCAGAACATTGTATCTTGGAGAAATAGAATGTCATATTTCTTTCATAGTAAGTTCTAGAGTGTGGTGGAGAATCAGGGCAAGTGCAGAATGAAAGATGGATAAATGTCTTCTGTCCACAGAGAATGAGCTCAGCTTTGTCAACATTTTCTGAGTAGTGGCAGAGTACTATTGAATATCAATGAATCTGGGACAATCAACCAATTTGTAAACATTCTGTCTTTTTATTTTCATGATGTGTGTATATTTTGCGTTTAGTCTCTTTTGTAGATTGTATGTACTTTTCTCTTTATCTAATGAGTATATTTTCAGCCTTGAGCAACTTTCTCTGACCTTCTTTCATCAGTCAGTGCATTCAACATTGAAAATAAAACCTAGAATAGATATGGCTAAAAATATTGGAAAGCCAGATTCCCCAGGAACCCATGTCTAAACAAGTGGCTATTCATTTATCACTTTGTAGTTTAATATTCGTATTGAAATTTGACAATAAAAATTGCCAATAAATCACATTTAGAACATAATCTTCTATGGTAAAGGAACAGGCTCCCTTCCCTGGCAAGTGATGCTAATGGAAGATAATTGACAGTTTTATAATTGGATGTCCAATGTATGGTACAACAATGTGCCAGCAACAGTGTCAGAGACAAGTTCAAAATAAAAAATGAAAGGTTTTATGAATGATTGATGTGAAATGAGCAAACTGAATGAAAAGTTGTCCTGAAGGACTGGAATACTTGATTTCTGCCCATTTTAACCATCATTTGCAGGATCAGGGAAAACAGGTAGAAAAATCAATCAGCTAAGATAAGAAGAGGTTCTATTAAAATGTTTAATTGAAATAGGGATTGCAATTTTAAAATGCTTATGGATATACAATGCTTCTGGCCACTCAGTTGTGAGCAATAGTTGATCAATTCTAGGTTGTTATTCCTTCTGTCAGTTATCCTCAGGTGGAAGTATTGTATCAATAATACTGGTGTTCTCATTCCTTTATTGCATTTATGCCATCAATTGGTTTGGCTGCCAATTTTCTAACACCTCCCGGGCTCTATGCTTCTGGCTCATTTACTGGGAAGGTCTATGGCTGCTCAACAAGTACTCAAGCATTCATTCCCATTACACTCAACCCTTTCCCCGTCTCATTGTGGACAAGGTCACTGACAGGAATAAGATGATGGACGGATGCTGGCTGTCTGCTTCCAAAGTTACCCTAAAAGAGCAAGATGTCCAGCTGGTGGCTGAGAACCATCACCAGTCCTGCGCTGATGGAGAGATCAGCAAGATAGGAGAAACTAGTGAGGAACATTGTAGCCTGTTGTTCTCAGGCAGCCCCACACATTCCTCTACCATGGAATAAAAACAAATTACCATTGATGCTGAAGATCCAAAATATAAACAGAAAATGCTGGAGAAACTCAACAGGTCTAGTAGCATCTGTGGAAAGAAAATTGAGTTAACATTTCAAGTTCATTGACCCTTCTTCAGTAACCAGAAGCCACTGGGAAATGATGATATTTATGCTGATATTGGAGGGACAGTGTGATGGAGTAAGTGGAAAATTGGAAATGGGGTCCAGAGAGAGAGGAGAAACAGGGTAGGCAGACAAAGATTGTGGATACTAAGCCACAGAAGAAGAAAAGATAGGTAGATGATAATAGGGACAATGAGGTGAAAATGGGTTGGTTGTGTTGTGCGCTGTCACTGTCACAGCCTGCACAGCGCTGCTGATCCTTCTGTACCACAAGTGCTGTCTGGGCAGACGTACTGTGAATGCTAGACCAGGGATGTTTCTGGACTGGAGATTGCTGGTCTAGAAGTTGCTGGGACTAGAGGTTGCTGGACCAGAGATTGCTGGATCGGAGGTTACTGGACTGGACTAGAGGTTTCTGGGACCAGAGGTTTCTGGGACCAAAGGTTGCTAGACCAGAGGTTTATGAGGTCCAGGTTTCTGGTCCAGAGGTTGCTGGACCAGAGGTTGCTGGACCAGAGTCCCTGGCATTGATCCAGCTCCCTCAGAGCCAGTTCTCAGAATGAACAGG